TTTCCCCCCCCCGCTATGTGGGCCCCCCCCCCCCCCCCCCCCCGCCGATAAACGGCAGCCCGTTGGCGTTGTGGCGGTTTCCGGCGGCGGTCCAAAGTAGCCCTAGTACGATCGGCCGTACTTCCATGCACGGCCCGGTACTGCCATTGCTCGCCGGTGAGGAAATGAAAGCGTCTCCGGTTGGTGGGCCCGGTGGCTCTCAGAGAGGGTATGTTTATCATGACCCTAAATCAGCCAGTGCTCAAGAGCATGTGAGTTTGGATCTTCATCTGTAATAGTATATATATTTGATATCAATATTAAGGTTAATTAATCAATTAAATTAAATTTAACTTTTGTAGGAAAAGAGAAAATTTGATGTTTCTCATAAATTTCTTGCTAGCTAGGTAGAGCTAGCTGCAGGGCGGAACATAAATCTTTGGCTAATTATGCAAGATGAGGCATTAATTCTAATTAATGACACCATTATATATAAGATTAATTAATTAACTTTTAATTCTTCAACTTCAGCCTGAGTTCGTATGTGTAAATGAAGATATTTTATGTATCTTGATTAATGTAAATCCAACGTGGTATATAAATTATATAATATATATTTATTTATATACATGTTGATTTAGTCCCTCTCTCTACTTGATTGTATGAAGACACTTTTCTTTGTTTTCGAAAGTAAAGAAAAATTACTTGATATATTTACTCTCGGAAGCAAGAAAATCGTGTTATCCATAAAGTCAAGTTTATCTGTAATTTTGAATATTTCCTCATATAATTAATTTATGAGTTGCTAATATTTAAGCAAATTAAATCTTGGTAACACCATTACACCAATATTGTATAAATAATATTTAAGCATGATCTGATTTTCTAAATTTCATTCGGAGTCTAGTCTTCAACACGTGTAAGGAATAATTTATGGTATCAGTTTAGATTAGGGCTCGCATGAACTTTTGTCTATAGGTACATACGTGTGCATATATATATATATATATATGCATATATAGACTTGTTGCGTAGACAGGTGGGTTGATGAGAGAGGTGAATATAGAGAATATGAAAAGAAAAAAGATTAGACATATTGATAAGGTTGATATATAATATTGTCTCTGTTATCTGCTAAAAGTGCAGAAAGAAAATGATTATATATTAATTATATGGCATTTTTGTCTTTAAGTTGTTTTCTATAGTTTCTCTTATACCTTTACCATTTCTTCTACTTTTCTTTTTATTCAATAAAAATAAGTAAGGGTCCCAATTTAAGATGAGATTTGTCACGGGGTCAACATAGTTGAAATGTGTTAATTATCGTTGATATCAAGTCTCACAGTTTATTAAAAAACAAATCCACGTATAATTTAACAGGAATGATAACTTGCTAAACTTCGACCTCTCTTATTCTCATTAAGTTTTAGAGCAATTTATCTGCATGAGAATTTCCACCAAAATTTTCAATCATGTCTGCAAGATTGCATCTAACTTGATTAAAAGATTGTCTTAAATTCTTTGTCCTCTCTTTTATTAGATCACCACAACTCTCTTTTAGTATCCTCTATCACTTAATTAAAGGTCACTAAATTTCCATATTTTTATTTTTATTTTTTGTCCGTTTGTTAGGCCTGATTTTGTTTTCAAAGTACATTACAATATTATACTCCGTCCGATTTCGTAATATGATTTTGTTGTTTGTGTTTTTTTTTTTTTTTCACTTGGTAAGGATTCATCTTGAAAGATCTTCATTAATCTTTATCATTTCATGACTTTTGGTTATATTTACAACATTAACACAAAATAAGAATGATACACAATTAACAAGCACTAGCAAATTAGTACCTTGTTAATTGATTGAAAAGAACTAGATCTTCTGTTAAAGTAAAATTAATTAATTTACAACAAGTAGTTGAACAAATCTGGGGTAGTGAGAGATTGAGAACTCGGGTCGAATACGGATTATTATAGAAAATTAAGACATATGCCGCCCTTAATTTATTTTTTTACTATTTCTATATTGTTCTCTTAGAATTCTGTCCTTTCTAGATTGACACAAATATAATAAAAATAGTAGAAATAATATATTAATGTTTAAGTTGGACAAAAAATTTTATGCTCCTCTAATGTGCTACCAACATTTGCCTCTAGATTTTAGAAATGCTAACATAACTCTTTCCGTTACTCTCTTTGTCATTATTTACATTCACTGTGACATGTTAATTTTACTAACATGATATATATTTCATTATTTAAATAGAAAATAAGATAATTGAGTCTACGTTTAAACAGTAAATGTAGAGAGTGACAAAGAGATATAAAACAAGTGGTGCCAATATTTATCTTTTCCTATAATACACGTTCAAAGATAATGGATAAAGTGACAACTAGAAGTACAGATTACTAAGTTGATAAGGGTCTAAATTAAGAGTCAGGAAAGCAATAGGTACATAAATGGGTCACTTGTCCAATGTCGGTTTATTAACACATTTTTCATCATATGAACTAGTACCAAAGCTTTTTCAACGCTTAAAAATTATAATAAAAACCACCCCTCGGAAAAGGATGTGTCCTCCTCCTTTTGCCTCTCTAAAGAGACTTGAAGGAACATATGAACATGGTTGTTAGACTGCCACTGCCATCTTTATTTCTCCGTCGTTTTGTACCATATTGCTTTTGTGTGGTTTATGGAGAGAGAGAAAGAGAAAGAGAGAGAGAGAGAGAGGAAAAAAGCGAGAGATCGAAGCAAGTTAGATGTTTTTGTTTTTTTTAATATTCAAGAGGGTTATTTTTATTTATTTTTTCTTTGAGAGTTGTTTTTCTCTTATGGCTTTTTGCTCGTAATCTTCAGGCAGTAATTGTGAACTCGTTTTGTTTTGTTTTTATTCTTTATTTTAACAAATCTAGGAGATTTAGTGCCGGATAAGAAAGAAATTGAGTGGCAGCTTAGTTAGGTTTTTTTCCTCTTTGTAATACTAATTAATTGTTTTTTCTCATCATTTAAGTTAAAAGATAGTAAATGAGAGTGAAATAAGTAGAAAATTTACAGATTATTATCCCGATCTCTTATAGAGATAAATCAGTAAAAGATTACTTTTCCCTTTCAGCAATTATTCATCTATGGTAAGAATTGATGGATCACTCTAGCAACTTCTTTGATCAATCTGTACTATTTATTTTTTCCTTGTGGGGCTGCACACAAATTGCTGGTCAGATCAGTCTTTATATGATAATGGAGGTCTCTTAATGAATCCTTTAATAAACTACAGAAGTACTCCAAGATATGCAAATTTTTGTTGTTCACTTAGGTCTTGGGATTTGAGCTTTCTCGAAACATCTTTCAAACATTACAGATATTCAAATTAAAAAAATAAACTTTCAAGCAAAAAAAAAAAAAAAAAATTACAAAAACAAACGTCTATTAGTCTTCTAGCTTTTATTTTGGTCATCTAGGTCAATCAAAATTATGTTTCAGTATTACTTTACTTTTGATCATCATAATCAATAATTTCAATTAAAGGGCCGGTAACATGTTTTATTCAATAAATCTGCGAAAATTTCAATCAGTTCTCTAATTGATTTTTTTTTTTTTTAAAGAAATTTTGTTATCCTTGGACTTAAACCCATATGAGTCCAATACATTAAAAACGATTCAAACATCATGAAACACTAACTAAGCTAGCCTCAATTGAAAAAACACACAAAAAGAGCGCTAAGAGCGCTCAAACCTCTAATTATTCAAACTGATATATCGTCACTATTCTACGCAACTCGAAATTAAGGATGCATTTTTAGATGATACTTAAATAAAATCACACAATTTGCATTCCAAGAAGTTTTCCGATTTGCATTCAAATGAGAGAGATTATTTGTTCATAAACAAATATTATGCCTTAATTACTAGCTAGATAAAAGTTACGAATAACCATATTTGTGATAAACTTGCGCATCTGATGATCCCTTTCCAAGAAAAAAAAAGTTCATTTGTTATGACGATGGTAATCAATATTAGAAAAATTCGATAGACCAATGTAATCCAGCCATTTTCGATTTTCCCCATAATTTTGATGTAATTGTTCCCAAAAATGCCTAAAAATATCAAAAGAAAAAGGTTTTATTTCACTGTCAAATTAGCCAGCTTTTCCTTGAGCAGTTAGAAAATATTTGCATATGGATAATGTAGGTTTGCTCTAAATTATATAAACATATTATATGATTGAAAATAAGAGTCCCCAACTAATGAAAAAATAACCTCCTGGGGCAGCATATATTTAGTTGATTGTGTGTGGTTGCAAGCATAAAAAGGGCAATAATACGAATTCGAAATTAATGAAGTTTCTCTTTTATAAAGCATATCATTTTTCAGTAGCCCCCCCCCCCCCCCCTTTTTTTTTTTCTTTTGATAATTTTATCCAATTGCCCATTACACATATATTAAATGTACATTGGTCTGTACTTGCTTCCATACTTCTACTCAGTAACAAAAATTCCACCCCCAGTAATTTAGAACACTTTAAAACTACCCTTTTTAATAGACGTATATATATATATATACACACACACACATACTATGTGCATGTTTCTTTCCCCTTATCTTGGGGAATTTCTTGTGAAATCTAGACCATTTTCATTGTACTAGTTCTTCATGCTATATACTCTTAAATGAGCAAAAGTTTACATATATATAGACATATATAGGTTTATTAAGGTTTTCTTGATCTTGGGGGGAAAAAGAACATAGATAAGGTGAAAGTAAAAAAGAGGGAAAAAGAAGAAGAAGAAACATAAAGAAAGAGTTAACGTCAGCCAACTAGAAAGGGGGTCCACAAGTAAATGCATAAATCTAAGGCATTCTTCATTTCACTAATTTGAGTTTTCAATTCTAATTTTGTTACAGTTAAAAGCTCTCATAAAAAGTCACATCTAACTTTTCTACTATAGTGAAAAACTTTTACATCAAATCACATCTTAATTTGAATTTACGAACTGAATGGGCCGTAGAGAGTAAGGCATGTGAGGCCCAAGATGATAAAAGTGCACAATAAAGACAACATGAAGAGTAAAACACATAATAATAATAATAATAAACATAATAATAATAATAATAATAATAATAATAATAATAATAATAATAATAATTTTAGGACCACACAAACACAAACACACAAAAACCACTTTGGGCTTTCTGCTTTCATCCAAAGTGACAGAGAAAAGAGATAGAGGAGGCAGCGGAATTTAAGAAACATCGGCCCACACCTCTATAAAGTTTGCAAACGAGGTTGACAGTTTATACAGTAATAGCCTCCTCCTCCTCCTCCTCCTCCTAACTCTATCCCTCAGCTCTACATTTGATTATTATTGCTTTTTGCTTGCTTTTTTAACCCTCTTCTGTCCTAATCTCAATAATGTTGTTCATCACCGCAACCGCTTGTGTGGCAAGATTTTACTTCATTTTTTTAAAGGAAAAATTCATTTCATAAATTAATTTAGATATTTAGAAATAATCACAAGTGACCACCAATTATAATGGAAAATTCAATCCCCAATATTGACTAAATTCATCAGTGAAGATGGATAAATCGCAAAGGCGAATAAAAGTGTCAAGATTCAATGGAAAAAGACCTACACGGCACACATAAAATCAAGTGAGACCAAAACTCGTTAGAAAAAATCACTACAGTCAATGAATAAATCAGTTGATCGAGACTAAACCTAAATATTGGGAACACAAATGATATGGTCTAGAAACAAATCGAATACTGGGAACACAAGTTATACGATCTAAAAATAAATCTAGCTATAAACTAAAGCACACACCATCGTTAATTAACTCAATGGGTGGGATACACAAACAAAATCAGATGTCGCAAAACCATCTCTGTTATTATAACATATAAACAAATTAATCAGAATGTGGCAATTCATATTTTATTTTTTCATTGTGAGATAAAAGGAGAATTTTATGGTAGGTTGAGCTATCAAATTCTCACCAAGTTTGGCAAACCATCATTCTTCTTTTGCTTGATTTTATATGATTCTAATGTAATGGTTAAAACCGTGTTTAACAACTTTCCCTCTGACATTTTAATTTTGGCACGTTGAAAAAGATATGCAAATTCAATGGTAAAATTGTTAAAATTAAAAATTTAGAGAATAAATTGTCATAACCCTAAAAATTCAGAATTCAGATGGTAAATATGCAAAATACCCAATTTCTTTCAATATAATAAATATGAGACCAATGAATTTGGTGTCGTCGCGTGATAGTGAGAATATGGCGTGATGTTATGTTTTGCTTGTTTAACCTCATTATACAAATCATTACTTTGCTCTCTAAAAATGAGAACATTTTTTTTTTTTTAAGATGATATATTTGAGTGTTGCTTATCTGACCAATATACAGTATTGGTTGGTGGGGACCTGCTTGAACAAACTTATAAGCATTTTGCAATAAATGCCAAACAAAGTTGTAGACCATGTGGTCGGATCCGTAGGTTCTGTTTGGCTGGCTCTCTCTCTCTAACCCGCCACTTATTTATTAGTACACATGTGAATTAGATACATCAAAAGGACACTTGCTCTCATACACAATCCACTCGCACCACATCACTAATCTATGACTATGTATACATCGCCATCACCCACAATCAAGTGGTTTGAGTTTTTATAGGTTGCGTTTGGTATTAGGGTTTAAATCAGAGTGGTTTTAGTTTTAGAATTAAAATTATGATTTATAATTTAAATTTGGGGTCCAAACTATAGTTCTGAAACCGAAATCAAAACCAGAAGTTTGAACCATTTAAAATCAAGGGAGATGTGGTTTTATTTTTTGAGATGATTTTAGTTTAAAACATAACATCAGGATTCAAACCTTGAACCAGAACTATCTAAACTAAACACTAATTTTTAAGAACCATTTTTTACTTTTTTAAACAAATAAAAGTTTGAACCATAATTATGATTTCGGTCGCAATCATAGTATCTATTAGAAGTATTATAAAAGTTGCGAACGCCACTCTAATTTCGTCTCGTTTCGTTTGAGATGAAACGTTTCGTCCTTATTTCTTTGGGCTTTTAACTATTTTTTTTCTTCTTGCGTTTTTGTTGTTTGTTATGTTGCCCTCCCAAGATATTTTTTTTTTTTTTTTTTTTTTTTTTTTTTGTCCCGGTTTTTTTACAATTTCATTTTTAATGTTTATTTTTTTTTCACTCGTTCTTATTAAATTATGTTGTTTAGTTTTTTTAATTGGCCCACTACCACAATTTTTTTCCCTGAAATGTGTCGTTTTTTCAATGTTTTTCTCATGTCATCTTTTCAACTACTATTTTTAAATAAATACATTCTCTCTAATTTGTTTCTGTTGGGTTTATTTTGAAATGCATTTTTTTTCTTATTTTATTCCTATTAACATAATTTCTTTTATACGTGTCCATGCTTTCTAGTTTTTTTTATTTTTTTTTATTTTCATTTTTTCAAACGATTCTCTATGGTGTAATCCTTTTTTGATGAACTTTTTTAAAATCGATTTTTTACTCGCATGTTCCCATTAAAATATAGCTTTTCAAATGAGTCTCTATTTATAGTCTGTTTGGTTGGAGAGTTGTGATGGGTTTGAACTCAAAAATCAATTCAAACCCCTATTTGGTTGCATAGTTTTTTTGAACCTTGATTTAGGTTTTGGGTCCATTTCAATATAAAATTGAAGGTTTTATAGAATTTATCCTCCCCCGCCCCAATCCCAAAGTTCTTTGAGTTCTAACCCAAATATTGTTACTCATTTTCACTCACATTTTTTAAAAAACCTATAGTTCTATCAATGTAACCAAACACTAGCTCAAACTTTATTATTTATTTAGACCTTACACTACCAAACACTAGTTTGAAATTCGAACCACAGAAAACCCACATATAGGTTCAAACCCGCGAAGTGTACAAAACCTTAATTTTTTTTTCTTGTATAATTCTTATTATTTTAAAAGCGATTCTCATACAAATGTTTGTGTTAGTTGTGTATTAACTAGCCACTAACTAAAATCTCTATTATTAAAGGAACAAAAAAAAATTTTCCGCTCATTTGGATGTCTCATGTTGTTACATAAGTGAAACCACAGTTTCTAAGTTCGTTTTCTAGTGCTCTAGGTTGTAAGTTAGTGTATGCAAGGACCAGAAGAAATGACAAATGATGGCAAAAGTACCAAGGCACACTACAGATGACACGGCAACTTTAGCCGAACCGCAGGGCCTACCAAAGTAAATGCAGAGCATGGATTCATCATGAAACCTCACTGCGAACTTTTGATGAATGTTGGAAGAGTTCTTGAGTAGTGTGGCAGGCAATTACTCCAACATAAGCATACACAGAATCAAACAAGATTTAACCAATGTTTGGACATATTTGGTGGTGGGTACCGGAGTGGAAGAAACTTTAAGCATTTTCTACATTGTACCTGAGAAAATGGAAAACGACGGACGCAGAAATTAAGTTCCTTTGGGAGCTTTTCAAGTCTGCCTGACTACCACAGGTTGAGGATGTCCTAGTTCCTCATCACTAACATGAGCACAAACAAAAGAAATGATGGTTATTTTGGCATGTTTATCCTCTAATCAAACAAGATTTAACCAATGTTTGGACATATTTGGTGGTGGGTACCAGAGTGGAAGAAACTTTAAGCATTTTCTACATTGTACCTGAGAAAATGGAAAACGACGGACGCAGAAATTAAGTTCCTTTGGGAGCTTTTCAAGTCTGCCTGACTACCACAGGTTGAGGATGTCCTAGTTCCTCATCACTAACATGAGCACAAACAAAAGAAATGATGGTTATTTTGGCATGTTTAGCCGCTACATAATCCCTTGAACAAGGTGGTATACAATTTTCTGGCATCTTCATGCATTGTCCACTTCATTTCTCTAGTTCAGTAAATTGTGTCGCTATCAAGAACAGTAGTGGCGATACCATCCACTAAAAGGTGCAGTAGAATTTGCCCACGTTCAATGATTATGAAAACATACAAATTCTTTATGAGATGTCTGGCATACGATTATCAAGAAACTGATACCGTTCACTACACGAAACAATGATACAAGATTTTTCTAATTTAATAAGATCTCGAAAAAATAATACTGGAAAATTTAGCTGGTCGAAAGAATCCAAAGACAAATAAATCATAACAAAATTTATTCATTAACAAAATATGTTATTCAAAAAATATGTTCCAAATACAAAAATGGAGACTTGTTTAAACTCCCTACATTCTCATATGTCTACACAATGAGATATGTCAAATGTTACACTACTTACAAAACTGGAAGATATAGGGTATATCCTGTAATTTATATCCAGCAGCAAGAAATTATCTGAGCCTTTTCTGCTGAGTGCGGGAAGTATGAGCCTCTTCAATCTTTCGAGTGAGAAGTGATATCGCATAATTTGAGGCACTTGAAGCCGCATAGTAGGATGTGACAGTAAGCTGTGCAAACCTCGGAAGTGCATAACCTAAAAGTAAACACAGTAGGCTGTATTAGTGAGTGGAACAAACCTTAAAAGTTTATAACCCAAATGTAAACAGCCGGTGGAACTATGACATAAACACTTATCCAAATGCAAATACTTGCATAGTATCCGACCAGCCAAAGCTTCAACAATGAAAGCCAAATAAATACTTTTAGTCAAATAACTGATGGCAAAATAAACAGATGAACTTACAATGTGCCAAAAAACAAAAAACAAAAAAAACAAAAAAACAAAAAAAAAAAACCCAAAAAGAAAAAAAAAACTTTTTAACCCGAACTCTTATTTGATAGAAGAGTCCCAGAAAGTTTAAGTAACCAACCTAGGTAAATCTGGGTTTAAACCACATAAGTAAGAAGACTTGTGTGCAATTTGTAGTAGTGAACTAGTGATGCATCGGAGTACCAAGAGTGAATGAACAATTACAGAGTTGAGTATGAATGCAGAAGTTGAATCGTTTCTTTCAGTTCAAAGTCGTTTTGAATAATGGCAGCAGTTCATTTATTTTCTTGGCTTTATTTTGTTTGCTTGTCATTTCTTTGTTTAGTCGAGTTCCGAAACGCAAGTCGTTTTGTTGGTTCTGTTCTGTGCTTGGTTAAACGCTGCGTTGTTTGATTTGGGGGTGTACAAAACCCTTGAGTTAGATCATAAAAGGAAGCCGATCATTATCTGAGATTTATAACAGAGCCGAGAGCCCCTTTAGAGAAACTTCTTAGAGGTTGATCCACAGGTATCAACTCTATTTCTCATCTTTTGTCTGTCCCCTTCGTCAGTGTTGATAGAACACTGATAGAGCCGATAAAAATGTCGATTTCGTACAAATAACATGACAGAGAACCTATAGAATCAGTCTTTCCATAGACCCAAAAATGATAGCAAACTCAATTCTGCTGATTTTGTCTTTGGATATAAATAACTACTGGTAAGAACCTGTACGGGCCTGACCGAGTGATGCTTTCCAAAACAACTCAGATATCCACCCCTTCCCTCCTTCCTAAGAAATACATATGGCATGCTCTCCAAAGGAAAGCATTGCAATCCACAAGTATGAAGGGAGAACAAATTCTACATGTAATCACTCGCAACTAGTATACAGGAATAAGTCAGGTGACCCAGCGTGCGTACAAATTATATAGGCGGATAAGATTAACTAGTATGTTAAAACATGACAGATGACACTATGTGCATCTAATGCATACATACATAAATTGCAAAATATGTGTATACATAACTTTTTGTGTGTGTTTTAATGTCCATTGCAACAAGTGTGGCAGATGCTTGAATAGAAGTGTTTGTATGTGTGTGTTTGAGCGAGAGAGAGCAAAGTCATACCTCCAAAAGCAGCACTTGCACCAGAGAAAATCAGTAGCGGGGGAAGCTGTCATATTTAAAAAAATAATAATAAAAAAAAAGAGAGAGCAAATAAAAAAAAAAAAAAAGAGAGAGCAAATAAAAAAAAAAAAAAAGAGAGAGCAAAGAAAAAAAAAAACAAAAAAGTTAAGAAACCAAAGCAAGTAAAAATTTTTTAAAATAAAAGCAAAGGTCTTTGAGATGTACCCCAACTAAGAAAGGAAGCCACTTTGGTCCCTTCACACGACTCTGAAGGTACGGGATTCCTGCAATCGAGTCATATGCTATTATGTTTAGCAATTTGTACTTATATCGTTCTGAAGACAATAAAACACAAAAACGAACAAAAAAATATACCTGTATTGACACCGTGAATCGCACAAAGTGTACCACCAATGCCCGACCCAGCCTATTTCAAAGAAAACACAAGAAAGTTTCAATATATTTCTTCAGTGTGTTTTCCAAAATTGCACAACTTTCAACAATAGTTTTCTCATGATTCATGAGTTTCCGCATAAATTCCATCATGTTTTTTCCTAACGAACTAACAGACGTGCTTAAAAAATGCTCAACTAAGTTTGATCACGAGTAAGACCATCCCCGATGCAAATGCAGATGCTAATGCCAAGGGCATATTAGCATCAAAAGGTGTGAAAATGACATATTTGATATGCTATTTTCATTTGTACTCCAATCCATAGTGCTATTTCAAATGCTGATTCTAAATTTTGCCATAATCATTAAGCCTTAGAAGTTGTAAAAGTAAACTTTTAATTTTTAAATCATATGAAAATGAAAATGTTATAATGATTAAATGAAAAGGTAAACATATCAACCATTGTGGAATTCTGAAGATAATAGGTTGTAAATAGGAGATTTGCTAGGCTGTAAATAGCTATAGATTAATTTATGTAGATAGCTGTTAGTTTCCTTTTCTGTAGGATTTGACAGATCGAATCAATGAATTACCAGGCTGTTGGTAATCTCCTCTTCCTATAAATGTATATTTCGGCAGAATGATTAATATACAAGAAATTTCTCTCTGATTTTCTTCATGGTATCAAAGCAAGGCTGCCTGGACCAGTTTCTTTCCTCTTCTCGGTTCTGATTCAAATTAGAACACATCTTAATCTTCTTTTCTGGTGAAACTCAAAAAACAGATTTCCTTCTTTTTCTTTTTCTTTTTCAGGTTCTGGGTGCAAACCAAGCATCCTCCTTCGTTCCAAATTGTTGTTCCATAAAGTTTCTTAGGCGGCAGTCTTTCTTCTATGGCCTTAGAAACATGCAGCAGCGTCACTGGAAAGTATCTGGCCAAGAACTCGTGAGCAATGGTGGTGCAGAAGGTTCGTCATTCCTCATCACAAGACACAAGTTAACCGGCCACAATTACCATCAATGGGCGAAGGCAGTTTTGATGGTCATCACAGGAAGAGATAAGGATGAATACCTCTTCAACACCACAGAACCACCAAAGAAGGATGATAAAAAATTCAAGGTGTGGAATACCGAGAACAATCTTGTTATGTCTTGGTTAATCAATGCAATGGACACAAAAATCAGTCAAAATTTTCTGTTCTATGACACTGCACATGAGATATGGATGGCAGCAAAAGAAACTTACTCTGACAGTGATAATACCGATGATCTGTTTGACATCAAGGGAGCCCTGCATGATCTGAGGCAAGGTGAGATGACTGTGACTCAGTACTATAACACTCTTAAGTCGTTTTTGGCAGCAATTGGATGTGTTTGAGACTCTGGATTGGGAGTGCCCTGGAGATGCAAGCCGGTACAAGAAGATCATCAAAAAAGAAAGGGTCTTCAAGCCTTGGTTAGGGGGAGAATCCTTGGTACCAAGCCGATTCCAACAATTCGAGAAGCTTTCTCAGAGGTGTGAAGAGAAGAAAGCAATAAGAAGTTAATGATGGGTACTCGGCTATCCTCTAACATCCTAGATGGATCAGCCCTTGTCTCCTAAGGATCTACAAATATTCAAGAAGGATCAGCCCTTGTCTCCTGAGGATCCACTTCCACCTATGACGCAAGGCAGAAAAAAGGAAGACAATGGTGTGATCATTGCCGCCGCCCAGGTCACACCAAAGAAACGTGTTGGAAAATACACGGGAAGCCCGCAGACTGGAAATCAAACAAAGAAAAGGAGGCATGAGGTTTGGTGTTTGAATCAGAAGGAAACGAAAGAAGCACAAATGATTCTGCTATCTTCAGCAAAGAACAAGTAGAGTGGCTGCAAAAGATGTTCAGTCAAGGATCTTCTCCTACCCCGATTATCTCAATTGGATCCACTGCTCAAAGAGGTAACTTCCTAACTGCCTTACATACAAAAGCCGAGGATTCATCAGGTTGGATCATCGATTCTGGAGCTTCCGACCACATGACGGGTGATGTATCATTACTCCATGATTATAATCTCTGCCACGAGAATTACAAAGGCCTCGTTCATTTCACCGATTCGAGTTTACAGTTTTAGGTTTTTACAGTAAAAAACTCTCACAAAATGTCACATCTAACTTTTTCTGCTACAGTGAAAAGCTCTCAGAAAATATCACATTTCAGCTTGAATTGAAAATTCGAATCCGTGAAGTAAACGAGGCAAAAGTCAGAATTGCAGATGGTTCCCTTTCCACAGTGACTGGTATTGGGAAAGTGATCATCTCCGAGACACTAATTCTTAACCAAGTTCTTTTGGTTCCCAATCTCTCATGCAATTTACTGTCTATCAGCAAACTTACTCAAGACTAAACTTATGTGGCTAATTTCTCCTCCACTCATTGTTCGTTTCAGGATTTGTAAGGAAAGCAAAGGACTCTACTGGTTCAGGGCTGCAGAAAAACAAGACCCTTGATGAGTGAGTTTTACTTGCTCATTTAATATCGTTTTACACTTAATATCTAGTTGGTTTTTGAGGTTTTTTTAGCTTTTATGTGTGTTTTTGTTCTTTGTTTGAACGTTAGGTGAAAGTCTATGATTTGGAAGGTTTTGGACAACTTTTGGTGGAAAAAGACAGCAAACACAGCGTTTAGGCACCAATTTGTAGGGTTTTGGCATTGAGTTTTACGACACTAGCACATTTGGACAGAACTGGTAGCGTTTTGGCGCCCATGACAGCGTTGCAGCACTCTAAAAACTGACGATTGGCGTTGATTTTGCACAGCCAGTGCCGCAGCGCTAGGAACTTAGTGTCGCGGCACTACGACGCGAGAAAAGACATGTTTTGAAGGCAAATCGTGAGAAAACTTACCCATTTTGACCCTAATGATCCAAAACACATAAATAGATGATTCTAGGGCAATTAAAGGAACTTTTTGGACTGGAGTGATGGCTGATTTTTGAGGAGATTCAGGAAGAGAAAGGAGAATTGAGTACGGAGAAGAGCAACGGCTAAAATCCGGAGACGGAGATGCTTCAATTCAACTCCAAACTAGTTATTTTCTTTCCTTTTCCAATGATTAAGACTTTGTTTAGGAATTTATTTTGTTTAGACATGAATTAATTTCTTTTTCTAGGACTATGATGTAGCCAGATTATGAATGTTCAGATTCTCAATCTTCTTTTTAAGTAATTGATGTTTAATCCATATATGTTGAGTATTTCAATTTATTCTTAATGCTTGTGATTGTTTGGCCAACAATTACATGATTTTGTATTTGATTTGAGACCTAGAGGTGATAATTAAATAAGCTCTTAATTGAAATACCATGAGTTGTTCATGGGATAGAGATATCTATGATGCTTATACAGTTCTTTTGAATTTATTGCATTTAATGATTTTCAACAGGTTTAGAAGTCTGACAGAGATGTAGAGTTTGCTTGTTGGATTAAAATTGTTGTTGCTTGAGAAAGAATAATAATTGTTTTAAAAAAATTACTGTCAGTATAGGATTGAATGTTAATTTTCTTGAATTATGAGAATTTGAACATGATTAATTTTGGTGAAATCGAAAACCCTAGAGTCTTAATCTATTGAATTTTATTCAGCTGCTTAGCATTGTTTAATTTATTTAATTGTTTTAATTTTACTTTACTTAATTTTATAAACTCTCTTTTCGATTATTCAAATAAAATTAGGGTTAATATAATTTCGATAATTAGTAAATAACAATCATTGTGGGACGATACTCTTATTCACTATTATATTACTTGATTGCAATAGCGTATACTTGCGTTACGATTTTTCACAAGAAGTTTTTGGCGCCATTGCCGGGGATTGTTTTGTTTTTGCTAATATTGATACCAAATAACTCTAGTTTAGTTTGGATTTTATTTTGTTAATTATTTTCTTGTTCTTGTTTTGTGCTCTATAGGAATTTACTTTACTTGCATGCGAAAGTTTGGGAGCAGTATTCTACTTCCTCTTGATTCAGAAATTGAGCGTACTTGTCGAAGAAATAGAAAAGAGAATAGAGAAACTGTCATTCAGTCGCAAGAAACTATGGTTGATCCTGAAGGGGCACTAAATGAGAACAACAATAACAACATACCACTGAACAATCCACTGGTGGTCAATCAGCCAATGGCTTTGCGAGATTATGCATTACCACCAACCGGAGTTCAATTAGTGATCAGCAGGCCTGTTATTCAGGCGAATAATTTTGAATTGAAGCCGGTGATGTTGCAGATGATTCAAACGATCCAATTTAATGGATTACCGAATGAATATCCTAATGCTCACATCGCAAATTTTCTGGAGATTTGCGATACTGTCAAATACAATGGAGTTAATGATGAAGCTCTTCACCTTCGTTTGTTTCCTTTCTCTTTGAGAGATAAAGCAAAAAATTGGTTGAACTCACTGCCGCCAAATTTGATCACTAGTTGGGAAGACTTAGTTCAGAAGTTCCTTTCTAAGTTTTTCCCACCGGCTAAAACAACGAAGATGCGCATCAAGATCAACAATTTTGCTCAAAATGATGGTAAAATTCTATATGAAGCATGAGAGAGATACAAGGAGTTATTGAGAAGATGTCCTCATCATGGTCTACCTAAATGGATGCAAGTCCATAATTTCTACTATGGGTTGAGCGACACTACAAAAACTCTAATTGATGCATCTGCAGGAGGAGCTTTAATGAAGAAAACCAAAGATGACGCATATGAGTTGCTAGAAGATATGGCAACTAATAATTACCAGTGGCCTAGTGAAAGAAGCACACCAAAGAAGATAGCCGGACTACATGAGATTGATGCTATCACTAATCTGATTGCCCAAATTGCTTCTCTTTCCAAACAATTACAGAAAACTCAATTGACAGCCAATGCCATCCAAACATCCTCTCCAGTGTGTGAATTTTACAGCGAATCTCACCAAAGTCATGAATGTCAAGCTAACAATCTTGTGAAAATCCGGATCGGTAGACTAGAGAAATCAAGATTTATATGATTTTGTTTCCT